TGTGCACCGACAGCACATGAAGCCAGACTTTCTCGCCCAGACTGAACAGCTTATTGGTCTTGTCGCGATTGTAACTGCGACAGTTGCGTTCTTGGGCCTCAAGTTGATGCTCCCTGGCTGCTCGGANACCGCATGAGCTGTTCCATGAGACCACTTTGGTAGTCACCCATGTCCTCCTCCGATCATGCTCAAGGCAGGCCGAGCGAGATGTCGATGGGGAGGTAGTGATCTCAACCATACATCAAGTAGAATGGCGTCTTGAGGGTCGCCTTGTTAACGGAACACCAATACGCCGCCAGCACGTAGGGGATGTAGGTGTCCCAGTCACATTGATGCTCCGTCACATACATACTGAGCATATTCTGTAATGTGGAGTTGAATTGCTTGGTCAAGCCATCTGTCTGTGGGTGGTACGCCAATGTCTTGAGGTGGTGTACATGAAGGTTGGCGTTCACGCTAGCCAACACCTTGTTCAGGAACTTGTGCCCCTGGTCGGACAGCAAGCATTCCGGCGCCCCATGGTTGCAGACGAGCTGCTCGACGAAAGCCCTCGCCACGGTCTCCGCCCGCTTATCTGGCAGCGCCACGACGACTGGCCACTTCGTAAGATAATCTATCATGATGAGGATCCATTTGTTGCCCGAGTCCGACTCCTGGAAGGGACCCATAAGGTCCATTCCGACGCGTTCGAAGGGTCGGGTCACCACCAGAATTGACTGCAGTGGACCATTTTTCCCCTGCTGTGGGGCCTTCTGTTGTTGGCAAGCCTTGCAGGACACCACCCACTTAGCAACCTCGCTCAACATGCAAGGCCACCAGTACTTGTGCTTGATGGTCGTGATGGTCCTGTTCCACCTGAGATGCCCTGCCTAGTAGGTCGTCGTGATGCGCGTGCATCACCGTCTCCGTGCGCGAAGTTGGGATGGCTAGCCTTGCCAGGGTGCGCGTGCTGGCCAACCTGTGTTGTGGCCATGCATGATGGTATAGCAGGCTGTTGAACAGTTTGCATTGTTCAGCCTCTAGGTGAACACATTGAGCAAAGCCGTTGTCCTCTGGGAGAACCTCCCCTGACAGAAATGTGAGGATTGCCCCCAGAAATGGGTTGTTTTGCTGTTCTTGCTCCAGGTTGACCATGAGATTTGATGTCTCTGCCTTGTGCGCTGTGGCCTGTCCAGCTGGTTCATGCTCTTTGTGAGCTGTGGCCCGTCTGCACTCCTTGCCCTTGGGAGTGGCGTGTCCATGCTCCTTGTGAGCCATGGCCCATATGTGCTCTCCTTTGTCAGTCTTGTTGGGCTGACCCTGCCCTCTACTCTGCTCTCTGCTTGTTGACGCCAACTTGAGTGGTTCTTGAAACCAGTCCTCACTGGCTGGCCAAGAGCGCTCCCATTCTTTGTCCAGGGGCCACTTGGGTGGTGGTGCTGTGCAGGGGTCTCCTCCACTGGCTCTGGTGCTGGAGACACTCAATGAGCAGCCACACAAGCCACATTGCCGAATGGATCCATCACCACCCGCCACATGAACTCATGCCCCTTGATTGCCACTGCCCACTTCACCCTTGTCTCACTGACCACGGCCACAATGTCTGTGTTGCTCACAATGGGTGGTCTCATCATCACATCCATGTTGACGTGCTTGACACCTGCACAGTAGACAATTTTGAACTCATAGGGTTGTAGCTTCATTGCCCACTGTGCCAACCACCTGCATTGCTCCTTCACATCCATCAACCACTTGAGTGCAGTGTGGTCCATGACAATGTGGAACTTGCTGCCATGCAGATAGCAATGGAAGTACTTGATCCAGAACATGATGCTTAAGCACTCCCACTCAGTCATGCTGTAGTTGTGTTTGGACTTGGATAACCACCAACTGGCATATGCCACCACCTGTTTGTCACCCTCCTCTGTCTGTTGAGACAGGACTGCCCTGATGGCCAGCTTCAATGTGTTGGTGTGCAGGTAGAAGGGCCTCTTGAAATCTGGGAATGTGAGAACAGGTGCCATTGTCAGCGCCTCCTTCAGCTGTATGAATGCCACTTCACACTCCAGCATCCACACCACGCCATGGAATGGCTCAGCTCATAGCAGTTGATACAGTGGCTCCATGACCTCCACAAACGCTGGAACAAACCACCAGTAGTAGTTGCACAGCCCAAGGAAGGCTCACACCTCAGTGGTGTTGACAGGCTGTGCCATCTCATGCACAACACACACCTTCTTGGGGTCCATGGCAATGCCATCCTTCCACACAAGGAGTCCAAGGAACGGCAACTCAGTCCAACAGAAGTTGCACTTGGACAGCTTCATGAACATGTTGGTGGTGTGCAGCTGGTCAAACACCTCCTGGAGGTGTTGGAGGTGGTCCTTGAATGAGATGGAGAAGACAATGATATTGTTGATGTATACCAGAGTGCTGACCCAGTTGAGGCCTGACAGGATGATGTCCATATCCCTCTGGAAACTTGCTGGCGCGTTGGTCAACCCAAATGGCATCACCATGAACTCAAAGGTGCCATGCCAGGTTGTGAATGTGGTCTTCTTGATGTTGTCTTCATGTACTGGGATCTGCCAGTAGCCCAAGATGAGGTTGAGGGACAATCTCCACATGGAGCCTGCCAGCATGTCAAGGATGTTGTCCACACATGGGAGTGGGTAACTGTCCCACTTCATGACCCAATTCAGGCCATGGTAGTCAATGCAGAACCAAGTCAACCCATCCTTCTTGGTGACCAAGACCACCAGTGACACCCATGGGCTGTGAGACAGGCACACAACGCCAGCACCCAGCATCTTCCCAATCTCAGTCTTCTGCACAACCAACTCCTTGGGAGACACGCGCCACAGGGCCACCTTGATGGGCTGATGGCCCTCCACCTCGATCTGATGCGCCTCATGTCGC